TATATATATATCACAGATTCATCTATCACAGATTTTTTGTTTGTTGCTTATTAAAATGTATGACAATCCTATGTCACAAAAAAATCTTTCAGACCCCCATGACACAAAACAGAAGAAGAGGGTAAAAAATAATGGATGGAATATGAAAACACAGAAAATATGTACATTTTAGCAGACTTTGTCATGCTCTGATGGACAAGTCAAACACCTGCCATTGTTTCTTGGGTGGAAAAACATCAAGTTTGAGTTTGATTAGCCTCATTTGAACGGTCTTCCATTTACGTTCTAACACATTTTCTTGTGTTAGAAACAGACATCTCTCTGGCAAGCTCAGCTCAGCTTTACAAGTTACACATTTCAGCATAAACTGTGGTTTATGTATCCAAGATCTATGTACTGTTGTTGTGTAAATGTGTGTAGTGTTGATGGTGKAGAGAACACAACAAACAAGGCTATAAACACATCAGATAAGGTTAAAAATGTAAAGAAAAGAAAGGAAAAGAACTGCACACACATTAACTTATGAGTAAAATGTAAAACTGTAAACAGCTGATGTGACTTTTTACAGCATACAATGAATTAAAAAATAATAAATGCAACATCATCATAATAATAATAATAATAATAATAATAATAAGTAGTAGTAGTAGTAGTTTACCACGTAGTAACAGCAGCTGTGAAAGCCGAGTTTATAACTAACAACTACTTCAGTATGTCTATAAAATACTGATATTTTCATAGCCTGCATTTAAAAGAATTAGGTACAGACAGAGATAATCGTGTTTCTTGTGTTTTTGTGTAGACTGGTCTTAACTTGAAAGAACAGCTGACATTTTTAGGCTACTAGTTGAAGTCATTTTTTATTAACAAAATACGCTTAATATAAACCTTTAACGTGACTTCATGAATGCAGCAGTTAGAGATMTCACAGGTGTACGTGTAACTCGTATGATAAAACAAGCACAGATGAAAAAAACTACTGAACACAATTCTAACATACAAGTAGCTGAAAAAAAGAGTTAACCAGCTAACAACAGTAAACCAATGACGTATTTTRCTGAAACGCTGTTTTTTTTAAGTATAAACACCACGCGTGTATATTCGGCAGTAATTGTTTTGTTCTGGAAACTGTGTTAAGAGTAGGTTTTTGAAAGAAAAGTCAGGTCTACTCACTTCAAGTAAGAGGCTCCACAGGCTTTATTTACTTCCTACTTCCTGAGACACGTAGAGTTGACGCTATAAACCCCGCCTCTGCTCGCAGCCTATTGGTCTGTTTCTGTGACACGAGGAAGTTGAGGGTGTATTAAATTTATTATTAGATTAAATTGATGTTTGTTTTATAGGAAATTTACATTTGAGTAGCAGCAATTTGTAACGTATATGAAAAGAAATATCAAAAAGCTCCTTAAAGCACTCTAATATTAAAAACGAGACACAGAAAACATCTATTAAAAATGATATTAGATGGCACATACGAAAAAAAAATTTAAATAAGTAATTTTTTTCAAACTTTTTCAAAATCATTGTTTGGCACAATTAAAGGTAGCCTACTCACTGGAAAATATTAAATCAAACAAAAAGGTAGTCAGATAATGCAAGTGGAAGGAGTTTCTGCAGTACCGGTTTTCCAGATATTAATATCCTTATGAAATGTGGGTTCGCACGTATTGTAAAGAAATCCCTTGGTGGAATCTGCCAAAAACCACAAAGAAGCTTGAGTCACACGATTAACATCAGGCTGAACACAGTCTGCATAAATGTGATCAGTAGGCTAAGTTCAAAATCATTCACTGTAGCTCTTTCTGATGGTAAATAAACATACTGTAAATGCTACATAGCATCCAGTCAAACATTTTGCTTTAAAATTCAACCTGTATATATGACTTGGATAGTAACTTTTACATTATACTCAATTCAAATGTGCCCACTTATGTTTATATGTGTGTGTGTGTGTGTGTGTGTGTGTGTGTGTGTGTGTGTGTGTGTGTGTGTGTGTGTGTGTGTGAAAACAAGTAGTGAGTCCTCTCTTTCTATCTCTTGTATCTGTTCCCACCCCCAGTCTGTTCCTCTGGTGTTGTTGCCATGGAAACAACAGAACTGGCAGTAGCCCTGAGGACTGAAGCAAATATTCAACGTCTTTTCATTTCAGCACTAATCAGCCTGTGTGCAGCTCTGTCTCTGTGTCCTCTGTCCTCTGTCTCTGTGTCCTCATGAATCTGTGTTTCCAGGTCAGCAGCTGAGACTGCTTCAATATCTTCTTCACCTCTGAAAATTACTGCCTCCACTGACTGACAGTCACTGTCCTCTGTCCTGTCTGTCTCTGTCCTCTGATCTCTGTCCTCTGTCCTTTGTCCTCAGTCCTCTGTCCTCTGTTCTCTGTCTGTCACTGTTCTCTGTCCTCAGTCCTCTGTTCTCTGTCTGTCACTG